AAGGATTTTTAAAACACACTTTGAAAAGAAAGATTTTAGATATTCTTGAAATATACATTCTCTGGGATATACAATATCTTTAGAAATATTCAATGGTCATTTTTTTGCATTTTTGCAGTATGTTTCTTTTATGTTTCATGAAAGGAAATCAGGCCAATACAAGTACCGGACCTCCTGTGTTGACTTGATACCGCGGGAGACTGGAGATATGAACCTATGCGCGCCAAAACGATGTCCGCCAAAACTACAATGCGTTGAGTTTTTCGACCATTCTAACCACCTTACAACGCAACGAAGGTAAACTACGGTGGCTCATAAGGAATAACTAATTTTGCTTTTCATTTTTGCACACTTGGAGTTCATGGTCTTAATAAGAATTTTGAGTAAACAAGTGAACCCGGGAAGTGAAAAACAAAATAGCTAAATGCCTTGTGCACCACCGTAGAGATCATAAGCATTTTATATTTGAGGGGTGCTATTACGGCCAATGAAGGCTGAAACAAGCAGGGGAAAGGAGTTTTTGAAAATGTGAACCTCGAAAATCAGGTTTCCAGCATTTTTAATGGATTTTGAAGTATATTTTAGGGAGTGAAGTTATGAAAATATTACTTAACACTGGCGGATCGGACCCAGAGGGGGTTCCATGGGCTCCTAGGAACCCCATTCGAGCATATAAAAAAATGATAAATGAAATGTGGATGTCTTTACATTTGCTACAGTTCGAGAGGCACAGTAAAAAAGTTCGTTTTAGGAGAATGCGAAAACAAAGTGGAATCCTCCTTTGAAAAATCCTGGATCCGCCACTGTAAGAAAAGGTTTTAGTCATAGGGGTCAAAGCAATATTTTATTACAATCAGGGCAGTCAACTATCCAGCACAGTCCRGTAGTCTATAGACCAAGAAAATGGCAAAACTGTCATGTTTTCTATGTATATCTACTTGACGTTTATGTTTATTAAAGTCCCATTCTCGCAAGTGGAAAAGTAGAGCATACTTTTACATATTTTCTAAGAGCAAATGAAAAAATGTAAGAAGKGGGCTACTAATGYCAGTGGCACCTTCTCCRCATTCCCTTAAGAAAACCCTGTTTTGGCCTTTTTTATATTAACAGGATTTTTAATGCAGGATTCAAAATGGTATTTTCAGGGATGCTAGTAACTGCTTGAAGGTGTATCTGATGACATATAGGGCAACTGAGATACATATGGGCACTTTTGAGGGAGGGGMAGGCTTTATACAAGGTTTCATGTATAAGTGCACTTGACGCATATTGGAGGGGAGGGGTGGTGTTAAGTTGGGTCACTTGATATAGAGGGGTGTCTTATATAGGGGGCACTTTAGAGGGGGTTGTTATGCTGCAAACATGGTTTATTCATATATGTTAATAATTTTGTTATAATAAATATTTAGGAATTATGGAGTTTGACAAGTCATAGATGTAGGTATGAATCTTACTGCTTGCTAAAATAATTCAGTGCCAAAATATTCAGTGTAGGTTAATGTTCCTCAACACCTTCTAAGTTTTTTCTCAGTTTAATATCTACATCATAACCCATCTTAGTGTACAAATTTTACTTTGTACACCCATGTATGGAAGCCTTATAACAGAACCCATTCAACATATACATTGGCAGACAAAACACAAGTTTCACAATGAATGGCTGTACAGCTGGCAGAGGTCTATAAACTTGAATTTTTGCTATAACAAGCAGTTGCTGTGGAAACGTGGGTTTCTATGCTGAAAAATATCTTTGAAGATTAGAAAAAACACATTTTGAAACATTAAATATATTAGAAGTAGAAAGACAAATTATTTTCTGCCTGAAAATGAGTAAATTTGTCATAAAACTTCAAACCGCATCGAAGACATYATTACAGAAACGCTATGAGAAACCACAGGAAACCCAATCRACAAAAGCGCTTTAATCCTATTTAATTAATAGAGAAATTATGAAATGTTTTCGATTTTTCTCGCTAGTATGTAATTTGGATATTTCGTGATCGTTTCTAAGTATCACAAAACATTTTCACTGAAGAAAACCGAGTATTATTATTTTTTACTTTGAAGCGGGCTTCCTGTGTCAATAGCCAGAAGGCCTTTGTTGCATCAAAGATGGCGATACGAAAATGTTGTTCTTTTATGTCTATTTTTATAACTGGTATACTAATGTCAACACTAAAATATGTCCAAGGGGAAAAGAAACTAAGAATGGTTAATATGGTAAGTACAARTCTTGTATTTTTGTAAGCTTTGTTTCCAGTGATGTCTGAATAAAGGTTTTTTTTTTGTTGTTTTTGAGCTTCCGGGTTCCAGATGCTTAAAATTCGATTCGAAGAAACAGAAAAGCTTATCAACTAAGATKCAAATTATACTAGAAAGATGTAATAAGCGAATCCTAAACTGTTTTTTTCGGTGAAAAGCGTGGTTTTCAATGCTAAAATCGACCAAGAGATTAAACTGATAAACTTAACAAGTTCAAAAATATATCAGCTTTGAAACTAGATTTTTGTCTTAATTTCACAGATATGATTAAGGTAATCTTAAATGCATATAAATTTAATATAGTGTGCACATGTGAACCATATTCTAGCACACAAAGATTGTTCAATTTCCAACACTTTTCATATACTTTATATATGCAATATTTTTGCCTATATAGCCCTACAGACTGCTGAATATTCCCAACTTCCCAATCAATCTCTGTTATTTTCAAAGTATTTGTTGTCCAGTGAACACCTTGGTCACTGAATACAATGTTACAGCAAATCTGTTGAAGTCTCTTCATATTGTCATGAGCAAAAAAGGGGATTTCACCATTATGTTCATCAATTTCAATTCTTGCTAGAATTCTTACTAACTGAACTGACAATTTTTAACCTTGCTTTTTGAGTAAGCGATAATTATTGTAACTAAATTTACAGGATTGTGTCTTTTTACTAATATATTTTTATGTAATATCTTCTATGTGTTCTTTCATTGAAGGTTTATCGCCATGGAGACAGATCTCCGTATGGTTCCTTCCCATTTGATAAAAACTTAAAACTATGGCCTCAAGGTTTGGGTCAATTGACCCAGGTTAGTTTCTAATATTGACTTGTAAACTGATCTTCTAAGGTCAAAATTTCAACGTTGTAGGCTTAAAAGATCAATGGGTTTTAAAACAATAGCCGACTTGCGAATTACGCATCAATAGTCACATACAAAGGAATCAAGACGAGGCGCCGTGCTAAAGACAATAGATTTTTCACAAAAAAGCACGGCGCCTCGTCTTGATTCCTTTGTATGTGACTATTGATGCGTAATTCGCAAGTCGGCTATTAGCAGCAATATATTAAGAATACCAGCTGACGGCTTGTCAAAAGGATAAGGTGATGTGTTGAAGATAGTCATTATATAAGCAAATGACTTCTGAATTGGATAAATTTGTAGTTTATATTATTAACAATTATATATTACTTTCCATTCTCTTCAAATAATTCCAATTTATAGTTTCATCTAGAAGAGATATATTTTTATTTTTATGATTCAAATTTTCTCAACTATTGAAAGAAAWTTTTTTTTCCCTTGGCTGATTCCAAATTTTCATTTTCTAATCTCAGATATAATACAATATTTTAAATTAAATTATGCAATGTATTAATCTTTTTTGTATTCAATTTTAGATAGGGATGCGTCAAGAATACCATCTTGGACAATTCATTAAACAACGATACATTACAGAGAATAATTTACTCAATTCAATGTATATTAGACAACAGGTTTGTACCAATGAATGCAGATGTATGAATTCTGCTCAAAAACCAGAGACATTGAACTTATAGCATATGAGCAGCTGTAGCTTTTTATAATTTATAGTGACCAATAATCCAGTTTCGAATTCTTCAATGCTCTGTGTTAGCCTCATTTGTGCGCAAAATATTCGTAATTGTGAGAATAAAAGTGTGAGATTTCATATCAAATCTATTGTCTTTCTTTTCAATTTCCATGCGTTTTGAGGCTAACACAGAGCAAACCAGAACTCGAAATTGGAGTATTGTCAACTTAGGGACGTTCATTTTTGAGGGGGAGAGGGGTTAGGGTGCTGGTGGTTTTGAAACTTTCTCTGTATGCATAAGTTGGATACGTACATTTTTTAAAATGGCCCACCTCTTTTATAATTACCATGTCTTATTGTTTCAATTCCCATAAAATGAACTGTCCCCTCCCAGTAGAAATGAACGGTCCCTTGCGTAGGGCAAACTGATTCAAGATTGTCAAAACCTGACCTATTGTAGATATAAAATCACCCGGCAAGTAAAGTCTTTCAATACAAAATTTTGCTAAAATAAACTTTTGAATTTTTTTTCTAATGGCAGGTGTTATTGTATTTGTGATCCAAACATTGGTTATACTTTACAAGACGGCACTTTAATGTAGTTCAGTAAAATGGAATATCCACATCAGCTAAAAATTTCTGACATTTCTGTATCATAATATGATAATCGTTACATAAGGTTTAGATTCTGCCTGCCTCAGGGTTTGTGTTTTGAGTCAGACATTTCCAACTTGTGTTTGATTATTCATATTGTGGGTTACCTGTGCTCACCTATATGTCATGGTTGTTATGGTTACCTCACAGGTCTATTGTAGAAGTACAGATGTCGATAGGACAATCATGAGTGCACAAGCACAGCTGAATGGACTTTATCCTCCTTATGGGCAACAGGTAAAGTGTATCTTTGTATTAAATAGTTAATAATAATTATAATAATAATGGTTTAATCACAGYGTATCCACTAGGTGGTTCTTCATCAGTGATGCAACTCATACACTCTACCTCAACATTAACTATTTTAATAGCAATTACGACACTCCTCACACAGCTAGTTTTTGACTGAGGGAGGAAAACCAGCGGACCTGGAGAAAAACCCTTGGAGCAAGGAAGAGAACCAGCTTAAAAAATCAAATCACATATTATATAATCCCTGGACCGAGAATCGAACCAGGACCACAGCGGTGATAGACCGGCATTTTAACCGCTCGACCATCCTTGTTTCCCCTTCTATATCGTAGAGATAACACGCAATGGCATTATTGCAGTGGCACTTTTGTATAACACTGTGAAGCAGCACAGTGCAATCATGGACCCCATAGTGTTGTGACATTACTGACTGATCATAATTCACAAATAGTCTCATTTGAAGGAGCTACTCCAACGGTAACAGACTTTCTTTTCTTCTTGGTCTTTGTTCATGATCTTGACCTCCTCCGGCAGCTTTTTCTGCCTTATTACAGTAATCTCACAGAGTAGAGTGCCTACGAAGGAGGCTTAAATTCACAAAATTACATCAGACAGACATTTTTGAGAAAGATATAAATTACAGCCTTAAATATTTATAATTTTTATATAATAAATGTTTTGTTGAGTTGTTTTTTCTTAATATATATTTTTTAGGTATGGCGGCAGGGTGTTAAATGGCAACCAATACCAGTTCATGTGGTTAAGAAAGAGAATGACAAGGTAAGATATAGGCCTACCAACACCCAACCCCCTCCCTCCCTCMCCACACAATCCTTTCACAACTTGATCCTGACCAGCCTTCAAACTTTATCTTCGTATATATAATATAGGGGCAAGATGACCGTTAACGGTCTGTTAGCTGCCCCCAACCAAAGACATGCTCCGTAGACCCTGTTAAACCAATCTTCAGTCAGTGCATCTTATCCATTTATTAATTCTTATTCCACCATATTCATTCTTCCATCCACCCACTATTTT